TTTTTTTTTTTAGGATGGATGACAACAATAATCTTTTTTCATCCAAATAATTCATGAATTTAATATATTTCAGTGAACTTTACATCTTTCCTCAAGTAAGAAAAAACTATATAAACCATCTAAACGCTGGTTAGTCAGTAGAATTCTATCAATAAAAAGATAATGTCATTTTACCATGCAAAAATTTTGCAAATATTGGTCGATAAAGAATTTCAAGTTCCTTTTAAAAAAAAGTTCTATTTATCATTATTAAAAATTGCTAAATAAATTTATTTATATCAGTAAATTTAAAATAATTTAAAATACATATCATGAATACACATAGAAAATAAAATGCAACAAATCCTACAATGCATTAGTAAGAAAACTGAAGGGATGTATCAGGAACCGGTAGCAATTCAGTTAACCTGAATGCTTGAACCAATGTATTAGTACACTTCTTTCAGCGTACCATTTCTTAAGAAAAAATTGGAATACTGAAATACCGACTATAAAATTTATTTCACTTACAATAGTTACTGCACTAGCTGCTTCACGTGGTAGTGCTTCCATATTTTGAATAAATTGAGCAGATTTTGCAGTTGTCATTGCAGCTATCATTTTCTTATCAATTACACGATCTACTTCAGCCAAATTCTCCAGCATAAATTCACACGGAGACCAAATCACATATCCATAGAGGTGGAATAGCGGGAGCTAAATCACATTTGGAAATGTAAATGCAACTGTATAAGATACTTTAGCTAGAAACCACTTCCCTTAATAAATCCGTTCAATTTCATTGAATACTCATGTCAAAATTGAAAATATTTATTGTAATAGACTTACTGGTTAATTAGAAAATTAGATGGAAAGAATAAAATTTAAATAATGGAATTACCCAAGTATCAGGACAATTTATTCAAAAATTTTGTAAATATTGATCGATAAAGCATTTTAAAGCACTACGTATTACAGGAAGCTTAACAAAAGTTCCTTTTTTTTAAGACAAAAAGTGAAACAGTATAAGTTGCAATGCTGTAAAACATTACTAGTAATGCTGTGAAACATTAGGTTAATCTCATCTCTATCTATTCAAAATATTTGGATAGAAATCACTTCCTTTAGTATTCGACACTAATGTGTTTATTGGATATTTGCGTGATGAATCCCAGAAAAACATTCTCTGGTATTCTAACTATTTCATTTAATCTAAGCCTAAAATCAGCAATGTGAAATGTTGTGGAGTAAATTTGATTTATTAGCAATGCTGTGAAACATTAGGTTAATCTCATCCCTATCTACTTAAAATATGGGCGCAACAATATCTTATCCTATCATCCTTTACATACCTTTTTATAACTATTCCAAATGATTCGCATCATTTTCTTATCAACCGTACGAAACATGAACATATGGCATAAAGCAAGAGCAACGATTGCCATTAGATATCGCTTATCCGGCATATCATCTGCTGAAGCATGCCAAACAAATGTTATTGTAAGAAAAATAACGATTGTTAGTTTGTTATTTTAGCCAGAAAACGACAAAATTGAGATCTCGAAAATGAAAATTGAAAGTGAAATTAAAATTTTGTTTGAAAGTTCAACAAAATTTATAAAAATTTATTTGGTCATAGAATTTTTTAAAAGCATTGAAAAAAAAATAAGGAATACATACTAGCTATTCGATCCCATTTTTCAAACATTTCAATTGTTATGGCTTTCATTCGTTCACTGAGCTGTAGATTTTCATGCAAATTTTTCTCGAACATTTGTTGACAACAATTCTGCAAACCCATCATCAATGTATATCTAAAACTATTGCAAAACAAACAAATGATATGCAAGACATCTTAAAGTTCTGAGAAATAACTGAAAAAGAAGAAATCAATATTGGAAGTTTCCTGGAAAAAGTTTTACATATATTTTTTTTCGACTTCATATGAAGCATAGGAAAAATTGCAAGATTTTCCAATAATTTAGTTACTAAATTGCGTAATCATTTTGGGTAGCATGTCTTTTCAATAATTGTACTATCATAGAGATTATGATAGCAATCATATAAACACTAAATTTAAACTGCCCAATAGACATCAGTATTTCTGATATCCTGATCTTTAATAGCAAATACGTACCCAAGCTTCTTGAAATATGATCTTGTGTGCTTTTTTTTTCTAACAATAAAATTAATAAATAAAAAAACCCAACTTTAGAATAAAATTAATAAATAATAAAGTCAAATTGTTACCTTATAAAGACTGGCTTGCATAATTGATTGATTGATGCTTGCAATTAATCGCTGAAGAGGTTGCAACAAATCCGATTTTGCATCGAACTGCGATGGATTATGAGCTACTAATTGCATTGCTCTGAATTTTTTTTTTAAATTTCAAATGAATGAATTGATTTTGGGTCATAATTTTCATAAATACAGAAAAATATGAGGAAGGTTTTTTCTTTTTTTTTTGTAAAGGCTTAAAAATTATGGAAATCTCAAAGAGTAACGAAATATTATTGTCTTAATATTTGAGAATATTCAATATTTAATCTTTAATATTCAAGCATATTCTCTCTTAATCGAACAAAACTTAAGCATATCCTATCCCATTTTTTGCCCATCGAAAATAGAAAACATGGGATTACTATTATTACAAGGAAACAAAACAAATAAGACATGCAAGGATCAGTAATTTTATGAATGTCTGGTGATGTCGAGATTACAGATCCTGTAATCCATAATTCCGTAATTTTCAGCTAGTAATTTTCAGCTCTATCACAGAGATTAAAAAGCCGAAGCAGATTCTGATAATTATATACCTTTCCTAGTATTTGTTATCCATTTCATTACCATTCAACTCCAACTAATCTCTAGATGCCATAAGTTGAGTTACAAAAACTTTATCAATCATTTCATCCTCTCCCTTTCACATCCACCGCTTTAATGGCAACGCAATTAATATTGCACTGATTCTACTGATAACACAATTTATAACAATACCCATATGCATTAATTTTTATTTTAACTGACTCTAATTTCAATTTCAATTTCATCTTTTCTAGGCATAATCAAACTTTACCTCAATTTATTTTCCCATCATTTGAATCAAACTAATTTTGATGTTTGTAGAATGATAACAGTTGCACAGTTATTTCGAAAATAAAATTATCCTTCACAGGGTTACCAAAGAGAATTGAAATTTTTCGAAAATTTTGAATACTTTGCAAAATTTTACTCCACCACTTAGAAAGTTTAAAACCATAAAAGATTAGCTGTCACCTATAATATGATTGCCAGTGTTGCTGCAAAGTAGATTGTTGTCGTATAATTTCGTCAAGTGAAATCAAAACGGATAACAATAATCCAAGTGAACGCCACACCCTCAGTAACTTCCTTTCCTGAGCTTGCTCCAAAACACTGCCCCTAGAAATATGACAAATATAAAAGCAAAACGCAAAGCAGTAATCTTGCTAGTTCTGTGCTGTAAAATAAACAGGATCATTAATATTAGAAGCTTAATTTCTAACTTTAAGATAATGAATTAGAAAGAAATGATGAAATATTGGAGGAGATGCATTAATTAGACCTAAAAATGCAGTAAGAAATAAACGATCTTAAGTCTAGCTCAAATGGGATCTCTGCCAAATCACACATATTATTGTCTTAAATAAATTATCAAGTTAAGGTTTTATTCTAGAGATATCCAAAAGGTACATATAAAAATACATACAAACATTCATACAAGAACATACAAAATACAAAAGTACATACAAAAAGTACATATAAAAGTATATATTTAATATATAATTCTACAAAAAAAAAATTATATAATTTGCCTCGTTATTTACTACATTTGTAAGATTTAGCTTCGTCGTTAAAAATGATAAGAGGATTTTTTTTTCTTTTCAAAACTTTATATTTCTATAGCGGAAAATAAAGAAGATAATAACAAATTTAAGATTGATAAGTTTCCCGTTACTGTTACATCAACTTTAGCAAATTTCATCGTTTCTCTGTTCAACAAACAAAAATATCTTCAAACTAAAAGATAAAATTTCGAATGAACCAAATGAAACTTACTTTAGAGAAAGAAAAGCATGAAATTGAGAAATAATATTACGAAATACTTCATAACAACGATTGACAAAAACATGAAGTTGTTGAAGTTGTGGCAGAAATCGAGCAATCATTTTTACAGTACCACCCTCTGATGATAAGCATCCATCAGCTATCAAAAAACGAAATTATCACATATTTAAAATATGCACGTTATTTGATTTTACAAGAAACATGCAAAAATAAATAAATTTAATGGAATTTCCTTTACAACCTTAACTGATTCATATAATTTAACCTCAACTTTTTAATTTCCCAAATCATCGATTACTTGATAATAACTGCAATAATGAGAAAATTAACCTAATTCTCTCTCAACTTATTGCCTATTTCAATATTTTTTGAAATAAAATTTACCATCTTCCCCATAAACAATTAATGCTTGATAGAATGTGTTTCGTGCTTTTTCCACCAAAATATCCACTTCTATGATAAGAGTAGAAAATGTAATGATACATTTATCGATAACAGCATTTCCACTATGTGTTAACTCTACCACTTTCGGTTCCATACCATAAAAACAATCGTTCTGAAATCACAAATTAAAAATTTGAATTGAAATTTAAAATATTACTTAAACCTTCCCAAATTTTTTACAAAATATTTTCTCTAGGAAAATTAAAATAAGTAAAAGTAGAGATGAACAGATTGCAAGAAGTATTGATGACATGAGATTTATCGTTTTGTATATTTCCAGTAACATATGTCTATCATGGAAGTTTTAATGACAATAAACCCATACCTTTTTCATCTTTTAATTATGCTATATTTTATTATTGAGACAAAATATTAGACTAAATAAATGAGTTAGTTTATGGTAAATAATTGTAATGCATGATGATAATTATATATATATGTATCAGATACTAAAGCAGTGTATCATGCGAGGTACAACATTCTTTAGGAATACATATATGGAATTTTGAAAATAAGATTTTCGATTAAATTTGCATAATCATCTAAATTTTAGTGATTTTTTCAACAAATCAGAAAATGATTTAAATGAACCATAATGCAAAAGCAATGTTATTATTGTGTTCATTGGATCCAGGAGGCGGTTTGACACGAGCCAACTCACCAAAGGGCTCGTTTTTTTCCCGAGGTGGTGGGGGTAATTTCGAACATCTTCCTTTCTTATCAAATGGAAATAACCATTTGACTTCTGCTTAGTTACGCTGAATCCAGCAACTCTTCTCTCGGAACAATTACTGATAATTGGAGCGAAATTGTAAAAATTGATTTTTCCACGCAAAATAACTTCTTAAAAGATACGTAAAGATAATGACATTTCAATTGTCTTTTATGATCATTCTGTTTTCTTTTACATTTTTTACTTATATCTAAGGTCAAAGGTAAAAGAGGTAATCTGATAATTTAGGGAATATAATTTTTTATGTTACTTTAAAATAGGTGATTTAAATCTACAAACAAATATTTGAGAAACCATTTTATGATAATATTCAAGCATTCGAAATTTTTTTTTCTCGAAAAGAAGTCAAGATAGTGGAAGGCTAAGAATTAGTAACTGATACGTTTGTAGCTAAGATAGAAGATTTTCTCAAAAAGGTTATCTTAAAGAAATACTTAAGAAATTCAAGGATTAAAAAAAAAGGACTCCAAAGACAGGAAAGAAAATGAATGAACTACTTTTTCATTTTACCTTATCTCAACTCCATCTACCCATTCATTCATCAGCTTTTAATGTAACTTAATTATTAACTGATAAAATAATGCCTTTTGAAAAATATTTTTCAGGAAATAACCTTCAGTGATTTCTCAATTTCTGTTCATATTTTATATCAAACCAATTCCTCCACAAATTTTGTCTTTTTGATTGAATTCAATACTCAAAAATATAACAATTTTTTGAAACTGAGAGAAAAATGTCCATACGGATAAAGAGGTAATTTCATCAATTTATTTGAAATTACTTTAAGAATTTAAGCTATAAATTAAGCTATCCAACACTTTTCCTTTTTTTTTTTTTTACACAACTACTACATCTACAGATATTCTGAGACAGAATTTTTGATACCAAGAAAGTGGACGAATTATAGATTGTTGTTATCACTATCAATTATTTGCAATATGATAATTTTCATGTTGAAACTAAACTTAATGATACTAGCTCTAGGCATGAGGAAGAACGACAATTGTCATATGAAGATCAAATTTCGATACAAAAGCGACAATATGGTTTAATTAAATCATCAAACAACGAAAATCAATACCAACGTCCACAACACGATTATCGTTGCATACATCGTGTAAGTTTAATATTTTTTTTAAAAAAAATCCAGTTCTTTGAAAAAGCAAATGTATAAGGATAAATGAGTCCAAAGATATATATATATATATAATATCGAGTAGCAAGAATACTGATATTTTGTTTAAATTTTACAGAAAATATTCCGAAATAATAGATTTTAATGCATTTCAAATGGATCAAATAAATTCAAACTGCATAAAAATACCATTTATGATATTTGCAAAAGCTTAAAAATGATAATGAATTATTTCTACACACCTTTTTAATTATCAATATTCGAAATTAAATTTTAGCAACCACTTCAAACGACAAGCAACTATCATTATTATCCCTTTAGTACACGGCAGGTATTAGCAAATTATGGATATGCTTTAACAAATTGTCCAAAACTTGGTTATGGACGTTACAGCAAAGTATGTGAGGGTATACATCTTCGAACTAACAGAAAGGTATTACGCTATTATAAAAACAATTATGCTAATTTCCTAAACTAATCATTTGAATAAGAAAAAAAGTTCGGAAAATTCTGGTATGTTTCACGTAAAAAAAAAAGAAAAATTTGCAAATTAATAACTGAATTTAGAAAAAAAATTACAGTAATCAGAAAACGGTATTGCATAATTCTTTTGATAATATGATATGATTCATTGCATTTCTTGATGCAATTTCATGTCAAACATGACAAAGTATTATTCGTCCTCCATTTTCATTTACAGAGTATAAACTTCTTGGGTATTCAATCCATTTATTAAAATTGGGTTGACATTAAGGGAGGTTATGTTCAGTAAAAATGAATTGACAACTATTTTACAATGAATAAAATTTAAAAGTTCCATTAAGTGATATTAAAATTACTCTTTCTATATGATATGTTAATAACAAGTAATGAATGCAAATACATGAGAAAAATCATTCCTTAACAAAATAAATCTTTGGAATAGGGCCTGAAATATAAACGGTTTAGCTTTTGAAAATTCATTGCCAAATAGATGATAAAAGATAGATTAGAATTTTGGAAATAATTTACCCTATACTTCCACTTGTTCCCACATATTTCATCGCTTTCTTTTTGTCTTTACTCTAAGTATACCTCATTAAC